CAAAGTCATTTTCTGGCATCCCTAAAATAAAGCGGGGTGACCACCAGCAAGGAAGATAGAAACCCAACTTGTGCAGAGCAATCACAAGCATGCAGTGTCTCACAGCACGGAAACACAGCCTGCTGCCTCTGCCAAATTTCTATCAGGGGCTGGGGTGGGACAGTTTGTGCTACCAAACCACGGTTTGTATTGTTTCAATTTTTCTCTTTTCTCCTGGAGTCACTCTTCTGATTTAGAATGTACTATTTTAAGCAACTCTGCTAAAAAAAAAACCAAAACAAAACATCAACCAACCAAAAAAAAACCAAAAACCCAACCCAGGATTTAATGCCTGTTTGGGCTGCCCATAATTTTTTTTTCCACTGGAACAAAGATTTAAGTCTGTGACTCAAAATGAGTTTACAATGGGGGGCTGATTATCAAGAAGACCAGAATATCCTCTTATTAGAAGAATGTTCACTGGGCTTTCCTGAACTTTTGACAGTGGTGTTAAATTTATGGCTTGTTTAGTTGCATGCAGGTAATACCAGTTGTCTTTGACACAAGGAAAAAAATATGTGCTTTATAATACAGAAAAAGAGCAGGTATGTGCGTGTGAATGTGTGGTATGTGTATCCATACATGCGCATACATGCATAAACACACACATCCTTCTGATTATTGTCAACAGAAGAAATACAGGGAAGAAAAACACAAAATCACAAAAAACAGAGGTTGGAAAGGATCAAAGGATGCAGTCCACCTGCTTGCCTCAAGTAAAACAAGCCTAATTAAGGCATTTTTAAAAATTATTATTATTTTTCTATTACAGTAGCAAGTATCATGGCGGAAGATCAGGGCTCTATTTATACGAGTCCTATAAAAATACTTAAGGCAGTCTGGAAGAGATCTACAGTCTACTAGATTTCAGTTAAACTGATGTAAAAACAGTATTAATTTTAGCTTAAATCTATTTGTCTTAAAGACTTATTTCTATTGGTACAATATTTATATGCAGATAAATTATTTCAAAAGGGGAGAGGGGAGCTAGGCTGGCAGCAGCCCAGGTGGAGGCAGGATCTGCAGATGTCTGTCCCAGCACCATCCTTAGGAAGCATTTCTCAAACTCTGCTTGTTTTTTGGGGTCTGGATCAGTTCCAACAGACCCTCATCCTGGGCCTGCCTATGCACATCCCTGGGGTAAGCGCCTCCCCGAAGCCTTGCACTGGTGAGGGCAGACAGCACCCATGTATGTGGTGCCACCTCCCAACCCACCCTGTACAGCAGCTCCAGTACAGCCGCCTGCCCACTGCCAGGGAGAAACCCTGCCCTTGCTGACTAGGCACAGAGGGGAAAGCATGCGTAAAATGCCCTGCTCGCTGTTATGTAGCAGGGCAGATTAGATTTTAAGGCAACGAGTCATCAGCTATGAGTCTACAAATTTGGCTTTATACATGTCAGAGCAGCATCGTATAATAGAGATGTCTCTCTCAATCATACTGACCCGGACCTGAACCGGCACCCATGAAGGAGAAGTTTTGGAATGTTTCCTAGCCCATTTTTTAGGTTCTAGAGCCAACAGCTAGTCAACTTGGTCTCCTGGCAAGGAGAGAACATATCCAACAACCACATCCAAACTTTAAAAAAAAAATAAAAAATTACCCTGGGGAGCAGAGCACAGTGTAAAACTCTTACAAGTTTTCTGGCTGCTCTTTCATCAGCAGAATTTACGGGAAAAACTCAAAAGCAATCATCATTTTACAAGCATGTTTTCCTCTGTGCGGCTCCTGAACCCAGTTTTACATGGGGAACATCAACAAGGTGACATGAGCCGATTGCCTCCCCAGGCAGCTGCAGCGTGCATTCTTCTCACCATGTTAAAAACCCATCTCTCAATTTATACACTGTTCAATAATCATTCTGCTAATCACAGGCTGCCCTGCACTTCTCAACCCAAATTATTATTATTATTAGAGCTGGCTCAGCTGCAAACGCGCCTGCTTTCCAAACACAGAGCACTCGGCTAGAAAAGGGGGGGAGAGCATTTAATCCTTCATTGGTTGCAGTGTAAGGCAGTGAATGGCATTCTGGCATGTAATTTCTTTCAACGGGAAAAATAACATCTTTCAGGAGGTTTTCCATTTTGAGTTCGCACAGAATCACCACAAAAAGAAAAAAAAAAAAAACCTGGGTAAGGCAACATAACACATACTATGGCCTTCTTTGAATTCATCAGCTATATTTATCTCTCAACTGCAGCACAGAAATATATTTCACTTAGAAAAACTTTTTAGCTGCTTAAAAGAGACACTCAAGTTGCAAAGGCCACACACTTAGATATTAGGAGAAAGAAAAAAAAGATTTGTTTAGATTCTGTAAGCTAGCTGAAATCCATCACCTACAACTCATCACCAAGTCCTCCAGTCAGCAGGCATGACTTCGGCACAAGCCAACCCCAGCTTGAAATGTTTTAGTAGAAAATTGCCCATACAATATGGATATGTTTTAGCCATCTATTTCACTTTCACCCACTTTTTTCTTTGAAACATCTGGCTTTGACCAGAGGCAAGATGCTGGCTAAGAAAAACACAATCATCTGCCCTGGTACAGAGTCTTTCACACTTCAACCCAAAAATGTAGGGCCAGCAACAGCACAAGCCTCGCCATCGAACCTGGGCAACCTGCACAGTGGCAGCTCTGCATTAAGCAGACCTGACTTTTAAAAACAACTTTTTCCCAGCTGTCTGCCAGGCTATCTCAGCCATGACCTGCTTCTTATTATTCCCAAGACAAGGTCTTCTGCACTCCCTCAGTCTGCCAGTGTCATTCAGTGTCCCACCCCAAAAGCTGCAGCTAGTACAGAAGTTCAGGTGCCATCACCACGTGCAGTGGACTGACAGCACCAAACTTATGAGCAGGTAAACAGTCCATTCCTGAGACAAACTAAACCAGAGCAAAAAAATCCCACTTGGGTGTGCAAGGGAAACAGGATCAAGTCCGAGTGTCTTGAAAATAGCAAAGCACCCTAACAACTGGCACTAAGTGATCCTTGGGTGCAAGGGTCATCAGCAAGATCAAGTTATAAACATGGCCTGAAATAGTCCCTTATCCAAGGGAGGCTGAAGGGAGGGAGTGGATGGCACACAATACTTTCACCATTGGTGAAAGCAATCTGCATTAAAAAGAAGGAAAAAAAAAAAAAAAAAGAAGAGTCATCCTGAACAAAACATGACACTGGGCGTTCATATTTCATTTAAGAAGCCTCACATGTTATCTATCATCAGTAACACAAAGGGGAAGGTCTAAAGTTTGGTTTCTGTTTATTCACCTTGACAATATCCCTTAAAATTTTCTTAAATCCCTTAAAATTCAGGTTACATCTTTCCAAGAAAAAAAAAAAAAAAAAAAACCAAC